TTATTTTATTTTATTTTATTTTATTTTATTTTATTTTATTTTATTTTCATTTATTTTATTGTATTTTATTTTCACAGTGTCAAGTTGGCTTGGCTCGGAATAGTGCAGTAAACCAAATTAATTACTTTTTCCACTCTAATACCCTAACTGCATTATGCAAAAAGTTGTTGAACAACAACGACACACAAACTGTGGCAAAATTTGACTGACCACTCTTTATAACTGTTATTTCAACAAATTCAATTAACAGTTTAAGTAAAGCATCAGTTTATGTATGTACACATACATACATATGTAATTTTTAATCTTATTTGTGTCATAAAACAATTGCACTGATTGCGCAAGCTGATTATGACATCCGACTGACATGTAAATAGAATAAAATGCAATTGTCGTAAGTGGATTTATGGATTTCCTATGGCAAGTTGTAAGCGATATGACAGCCGTATGCAAGTGAAGATAAAGCTTAATACGTACAAGCATGCAGCCAAGCAAACATACATATGTACAGTATATATATACTTGCATACATTTGTCATGTTTACATACACAAATGTGATTCCAGAAAGTCGACTAACAACGAATAACTTCAGAAGAGTGGCGAGAAGGGTTGGCCACCGTATTAGTTGGCTTGCATGCTCTGGTATAAGAATACATATGTATGTATGTATGTACATGCCCCATGTATAGATTGAGGAAGTGGTGAAGTTGTAGTAGTTCGAGGACATCAAACAACAGCTACAACCAAAGCTTACTTGAGCACAGACTCTTAACTTTGATGATGGTCTCAGCTGCACGTCCGAAGGGGCGAGACAATTTTTGGGGAAATGCAATTTTCTAGGCAACACAAAATTGCCAATAAAGCAGCAACTTTGTAAGCGGCTGCCAGAAACAACAATGCAGCATCACACTATGAAACTCGTGGCGCAACAGACTTCAGCAGAGAGTTGCTGCTGCCAACTTGCCACATGCTTGTCGTGACACCAAGCTGCCAATGCAGCTAGCTGACTGCTGACTGACTGACTGACTGACTGACTGACTGACTGAATGGCTGACTGCCTGTGTGTCTATTTATAGTCGGTGGCTGGCATGCATGCAAATGCGCTCGCTGTCATGTTGCTCCATAGTAGATATATGT